GCTGCGGCTTGGAAATGTTCGTGTAACTCATCGGAAATCACGGAGGAATACGTCATGCTAATCGTAAGTCTTGACAGAATCCCCTCCTATTCTGAACGTTATTTCCGAAAGTTTTGCGTGGCTGTGACTCGTCGGCTGTTTTCTTTCTTGAGTTGGTCGTGGCTCATTTTTCGGACTTTATCGCGACTAAGATAGTCAGTTTCTATGTCTTCTTCACATCCTTGGTATAAAAGGTATGTTTTGAGAGCCAATAGCCGAGTCGGAGACCCAAATATTCTGTAAGCCATTGAAGAGACATGTGGCTTTTCGTATATTGCTTTTCCCCATGCATAAGCCAAAGTTCTGTCGTAACCTTTTCCTTGCAAATCGGCTCTATCCTCATTCATCTGTCTTTTTAAACCTCTAATACTACCGAACTCTGCTTCTGTTCTCCTAACTTTCGTTTCCCACTCCTTATCTTTTCCTCTATACTCTTCCCATCTATTTGTATTATTGTTCTTTCTCCTCTTCTTCTCCTTTCTTTTTACTAACTCCTCTTCCTCTCCTTCTACCTTCATTCCTTCACTAATCCCATTGCTCATAGGTGTCGTAGATATCTGGGGTAGTGACTCGGGAGTAGAGGTCATACTCCCCATCTGAATAATATCCTGCGACCTCTCTGATGGTTGGCTTAGATGGTCCTGGTTGGGGGTCCCAAGTTTCTTCTGAGACGAGTACTCTTCCATCGTCAGTGTACTCGTATCCCGTATGCTTTCCTCTGTATCCAAAATCGTAGTCACTCCATACTGGCATTCCTCCGTTGGTAAGTTCTCGAACGAAAGGACTGCTGAGTCGACCGTCGCTGGATGTTGTTGCTGTTGTTCTCCTTCCACTACTTCCGTTGGGAGAGTAAGCTCTAACTCTCCATTCGTATTCATCATCGTTGCTTTCATTTCTTCTATCATCAGTTCCAGATACAGAAACTGATTCGAGTTGGTTGATGTGGATGACTGGTCGTTCATGGACAATGATGCTTTCGATGTCGCTGTCAAATCCTCTAGGTTCGGATTCATTGTCGTTATTATCGTCAGGTCCTCCCACTCTGGTGCTTGTACTGGAGGCATCGTCGGGTATATCTCTTGGTCCTCCTGGGG